CTGAGTGTTAGCAGTAATTAAAGGACTATCATTTCTTTCTTCTTTTAGTCGACAGTTTGCTTTTTTAATGAGTGTTTATGCATAATTGGCTTATGGTAAATGACTGTTTAAGAAGCAATGTATATCCAAAGAAACAAAGGCTGAGGACCTTCCTGTTTGAAGACTGTGATCTTAAATACTGGAGTGGATGCATTAGCTTTGAGTAATACAGTCATGGCTGAGAATTTTTGCATACCCTCATTAAGAATAATTAGAAGAGAAAAGAGCAAATTGGTTTTAGGAGCAACTTAGATCTTTCCTGTGTAACTGCTTTGCATAATGTGCCCTTCCCCCCCCCCACACACACACAAACTCTGCCCCACCTGGACACTTAAAAGTCTACTGTGTGTGTGTGTGTGTGTGTGTGTGTGTTGGTTTGTTTGCTTTACTATTTTGCTCTAAGAAGACTCAGTGGACTTTCTTAAAAGAGATATTAAATTGAGAAAAAAATCCTGTTGAGGAGATAGTGATGATTTGGAGGGAAGGAAATGAGGTGTGGACTTCATCAAAGCACCTTTTATGCAGATATGAAATTCTTGAACAGTAAAAACAGAGACTTGGAGCAATTATGATAGTGGTGCTTTTTTAGGAGATTTGGGTTCCGTTTCTGTCACCTACATAACAGCTCATAACTGCCTGTAACTCCAATTCCAGAGGATCGAGTTGCATCTTTGGCCTTGTAGACACCAGGCATGCATTTAGTATACATGCTTACATGCAAGTAAATCACTCATACACATAAAAATATTTTAAGCCTCAATTTTATTTCTTCTTTTGCTAACTTTTTATATTTTAATATAATTACATTTCTCCTTCTCTTTTGTTCCTCCAAGCCCTTCCACATATCCCTCCTTGATTTCTTTCAAATTGATGGTTGCTTTACTTTTTGATTGTTGTTGCATGCTTGCACACACACACACACAAAGATATAATATACACCTAAATATAATCTGTTTAGTACATATAATATACTTGTGCACATGTTTTTGGAACCAACCATTTGGTACTGGATAACCAATTGGTGTGCTCTTCCCTAGAAGTCTATTTCATCGCTCTCATGATTGTGTAGATTTTTGTAATCCTTTATATAGAGTTGACACCTGTGAGCTTCTCCCCATTCACTAGGGAATGACTATTGGTGTCATCCTTGTTCATATTGTGTTTAGGTGATCATGCTAATGAGATTTTATGGGTGTAGTTTCTGACACTATTAGGAGACAAAATTTCACAGCAAACTCCCTGATCCTATGTCTCTTAAAATCTTTCTACCCAAACTTTCCCTATGTTCCCTGAGCCTTAGGTATAGATCATTGTTTGGTAGATATATATTGGACTGGGATCAGTAACTCTGCATTTTGATTGGGTGTAGTTTTCTATAGTGGTCTCTTTAAAAATTCAAAGTAAAACAAATAATGAAGACAACTTGGTTAATGTGACAACATAAGCTTAACAACACAATGGATTTTCAAGTGACAGAATAAAAGAAAAAGCTTTAGTAGGGGTGTCTATCCCTTTCCTATTAAATTATTAAACATTAGATTTCAAAAGTCAAAGCATAAAACATTTCACTAGGGATCAATTTCAACTTGAAATGGCTGAACTTACAGATGGGATGAATGAGTTTTGTATTTATTTGCCACAGGGATGAAAATTCTCCAACACCTGTGTCAAATAATTATAAGTTAAAAACTGGTGAATCTAACATGACTCAGATAGTGATATAATATTGAAAAGGAAGTGACTGTATGTAACTTATAAAGTGACAAGACCTATGATTCCAGACTGGAAAACTCAGCCTGTCTAGAGTTATAGGGGTGTGCCATCATCCAGATTTCACAAAGTCTTGGTAGCAAAAGTCTTTATGCATTATCTGTTTAAGGTACAAAATCATGATACACGTTGAAACACATCCTCACTCCTAACAGAGTACCTTACCCAATAATATTACTTAAGTCCAGACAACTGGATACTCAATGTATGAAACTTCAGTGGAAGCTATGAATAATTGTAGGAAGTAAGCATTTTTCCCCTTTATGTGAAATGGAGACTCTCTGGTTATAGAGACAGCAAAAGTCCTGTCTCCAGACAACTAATAAATTTCTAACCTTTCCAAGTTTCTTGTACTTTAGGACATTTTAAAGATTAAAAGGAAAAAGGGAAGGTTAATTTATAATATGGTCTTATCTGTAAGACACATGATAGGGTTATATAGAAGGTCTAGGATTTTATGAGGTTTTCTGTCACTGGGATTCAGATAATCTCAAATTGTTTTGATGATGCAGGTTATTATAAGAGTGTGCATCAGAGACTCCTACCAGGTCAGGAGACAGAAAGGGTTTTCCTGGAGGAGTTAGGCGTATGTTGACATCAGTAGAAGATACATGTGAAGAACTGATTGGTCACAAAGAATAAAATGGGTAAAAAATAGAGTAAAAACATCATGCAGCATCAACAGGTCTTGAGGGTAGCTCTGGATGAAAGGGAAATTGCTAAGGAAAATAAAACATCTGAATTTTGTCTATAGTTAGAACATACACTAAATGAGATTGAGAGGTGGGGGAATTACGTATACTGTATAGCATCCAGTGTGCCATTTAGCATATTTTGATTTTTTTCTCTAAAATAATTTTATGTATTGAGTTTAGGCTATAAAATGCTTGGTTTTAACCTAAGAGAAATGATTGATCATTTTCAACAATATGTTATTGATTCTTGAGAATTTCATGTAGTGTATTTTGAGCATATTCATCCTACCTCCCTCAATGCTTCCCATTACTTGAGAAGCCTGTTTCCCAGGTCCCCTCACCAACAGCTAACTCACCGTCCTTGTGGCAGGTAGGTTCTTCACAGGCCACAGAGAACAGGAAAGTCGAAATTGCTTCCTAATGTTCCCTTTGATTTCACTTAGGGTATTTTACCCTCAATAAGTCCTTATCTATTATATCCAAAATGACTTTCTTGTCAAGACAATTCTAAATAAACTTGTCATTAAAATGTTTTCCTGCTTTTCAGAGCTAATTATACTTTCATGAATACATCGTTTCAAAAAAAACCCTTGAGTTTCTTTGAATAGTGTTATTAATAGATAATGTGTCTGACAAACACATCAGTGTTCTGCATTTAAAAGTAGTAACGTAAAAATAGGTTTGGGCCAATCCTGAAGTATCAGTTGGTCATGGTACCACTTATTGATGGAAAATGAGAGTCCTATAAAGGATCTAACAGAGAAGAAGTTGAGTTAAACTCTTACTTTGTACCATTTTCTACTACTGAGGGGACAGAAGTGGGAAAAAATGAACTTAAAGCATTAAACACACATGTTCCAGTCTGTCTAGGAAATGATCCTTGAACCAGAGACTGTGGGTCTACTAGGACTGAGTATGAATCTGTCTTTCTGTCCCTTACTGTCTTCTTCTTCTTTCTTCTTCTTTTCTTCTTCTTCTTCTTCTTCTTCTTCTTCTTCTTCTTCTTCTTCTTCTTCTTCTTCTTCTTCTTCTTCTTCTTCTTCTTCTTCTTCTTCTTCTTCTTCTTCTTCCTTTCTATTTTGACACACAATTTGGGAGCATGACCCATGAATATCTGCCAGCCCATCAGTCTGCCTTGCCATGCAGTCTTCATTAAAGATGCATTGAAGGCAAGAGTAGGAGGCAGGCAAGAGATTACCTAGTGACAGAGGAAGATAGGGATTGGGGGATCAAAACCAGGCTCATCATTTCAGGTCATCTTTGTTTTGTGGGAACCAATAGGGGTTCTAAGAGAGCTACATTACTTCTTTTGGAGGGTGATTCTCCCAGTGTCCCTGTGCCATATTTCCACAAGTATACCACTTTCTGTCACTGCTCTACGAAGACTAAACTTGGGCTGGAGAAATGCCTCGGGCTTTGGGGGCTAGGCTCAAAACCCCAAATAGGAACACATAGGGAGTCATTTAAGCCAAGTTCAAATCATAGCTGGGACAGAGAAGGAAAACCTCACACAGTTATTCAGACAGTTTCTCCTTACTTCAAAGCACATAATGTTTTGGCCAATATGTATGTATATATATATCCTTCTTTTGACTTTGTTCTGAATTGCCCTCTGGGAGGCTGGTGATAAAAGCTGTGTAAAAGCAGGGGGGGGATAGACAGAGAGCGATGCTGTGGGGAGGTGCAGAAAGGAGCTACCATAGATGCGAAGTCTGAAGTGGGACTCATGAACATTGATAAAGATGCGATTAAAAAAAAAGAACTCACAGCATTTTCACATCAGAAAAGGAAATGCACTTACAGTGCAGAGCTCTGCTTCCAAAGACTGTGTGACCTGTGCCAACACATGTAAAAGGCAGGTAACAAGTTTTTATCAGCAAATCTTGAAATTGTCATCCAGATAGCACACATGTTAACCGTGTCTATTAAGTTACTTTCCAGCATGCACCTAAGTGTGCCATCAGTGCACACACACATCATCCTATTTGTTTCTCTGAAGAATGCCTTCTGCCCCTGAAATGTACATGTATCATCTAGTAAGCTTAGCCTTCACATTTAACTTCTAGATATTATAAAGCTAATTTTATAGCTGTCATTGAGTAACACTCAATAAGGTAAGATGAGTGTTTAAAATATGAATTCATTATCACTTTTTATTGACAGACATTACTTTGAAGATTTCAGTGAAAGGATAAAAACCCTTTATAGGCAATTCATTTTTTAAAAAAAACTATATAAATGTACTTTGTTATTGTCACTGCTACATAGTTCTATACTAATGGTGGATGTATATATTATCTAATTTTGGTGTTTAATTAGTATTATAAAGTCTGATAGTTTCCTTTTCCACAGATCATTAGGTAATTCATCTGTTATCGTATAATGAATTTTATGAATCTGTAAATCTCTCACTAAATATATACATGTATCCTTTCTTCCTTTCTTTCTTCTGTTCTCTGATCTGCTCCCACTGGTGATTCTGTACTTTGATTCCAGACTGGCAATATGAGGGTAAGGTGACTGAAATAATCCCCAGCACTTCATGGCATCCCTTGCTTGTCCATTTTCCCTCTACTGTTTTTAAAGCATTGTCAAAATTCTATTTACTGTCATTAATGATGCCCTTTATCACAATTAATTTCCAATTATGTTTGTTTCTGTTGTAGAGCTGTCTCATCATTTATCCTGTTAATCATCTATGTTATTTCTCTGCATTAAATTACCATTCCATTATCTCTGTCCAGAAGGACAACTTTTCAGCCATCTTTGCTGGTGTCACAGTTAAGGTTTGAGCAGTGTTTGGCTATGGCATCATAGAATCTGTGTCGGCCTTGGAAAATGTTTTCTGTTAATAGTCAAACACTTGAAATGTTGTATATTAAGTTGTTAGCAATCTTTTAATATTGCTATATTTCTTGGTGAATGTAATCTTGAGTAAGTTCTCATGATTTTGTTAATTATGGCCTTTCATTATCTTTTCTCTAGATTGCAAACTAGCTAGAGGAGGCCCACCAGCTACCATCGTGGCCATTGATGAAGAGAGTCGGAATGGTGAGTGAGTTCTGTACTTACCAGTACTGTCCATAATGAGAATTTCTGTTTATTTTGACATTTGCTTTGATGCGATCAGAGACTCTACATAAAGGGTTTTTGTAAATCAGAATCTATTAATGATTCATGTTTAATTTTCTATCCAAGGCTTTCAAATTTATCACTTCTAGAAATGCTTCATTGGGATTATGACACAAAAGACTTTTTCAGGGAATATGTCTTTAGTTCTGTGTGAATAGTGACTGATCTGAGTTAACCCAAGCATGAATCATATACGTGCTGGGAGGATGCCTTTCTAAATAGGTACAATTGACAGTCACACATATAATCATCTAACTGAAATGCAGTGGGTTCTTCCAAAGAAGGGACCACACTGTAAGTCTTGTTTGGAATCTGGTAAAGATTAAGACTTAAAACTGGTGAGACACAGTAGTTGATCATGGATAACAAGGAATCTGCATAGACTTAAAAGAAAGCACACATTTAAAGCTCCCAGTAGGGAAGAAGCCTGAATATTCACTCCATTCGGCTCATCTGTAGTCATTAGAAATAAAACCTAGCCATACTGAGTTTCATATAAAAATATACTTTCTCAAAATCAAGAATATATGTGATTTTTTTCAGGAACTCTCACACTACATGAGTTTGAACTTTAAAATAGTCATAAAATTCCCTCTTCTGTTGGTTCATGTGAAGATGATGATGTCTGGGGCTATCCTGTGTGACAGTACTCTGCTCATTTTCTCCACTGTTCAACTAAGTGGTTTGTTGTTGGGTTGCTGCTAGCGTACTTCCTGTTATAAGGACTTTTCTTCTGAAATCACACTGTAAGGAAAGGGATTGTGTCAAGTGGCTTATTGAAAAATTGCTTTTTTCCTGTAATTCTACTTAGGCTTACTTTGAAAACATTAACACGCATTATAACATTATAAAAATAACCTGCAGTTCATTATGCATTACTTTGATGGCTACCTCTTTTTACTTACCTAAGAAATCACTGTAAGGTTCTACTTTCATCCATGTTCTTTGCAAGGAATCAAAGTGTCTGCACTGTTGCTAGCCACCATTTTTTTAAAAAATGTTAAGAACAAACACTACTTTTAAAATATTAGGTAATTATGAAAATGTATGATGGTTATTTAAAAATTAATTCCATCATTCTACAATGAAAATGTATGGAGTAAGTAATTGCGACCAGCTTGTATAAGTTGGAACTAAATTATAATTATATGCAAAGGAGAAAATGTATTAAAGTGCTACAACAGGAAAAGGTTTTTTCCATAGGCAGATTTATGTTTGCTTAAACTTAACTGTTTCTATTCAGAACAAACCTATTTTTCTTTAAAGTGCAAGCATTGACTTACAAGTGGAAGTGTAAAGGCAATGAGCATGCCAGAATGACTATCCAATGCCTTTGTGCTTAAAACGGATCTGAAATAAAATAGTCACTTTTACTAAAGGAAGTTGTGTTAGCATGTGACTACAGGGCTTGCAGGTCACACCACAGCACTGGTGCCTGACTCCTTTAGTGCTAACTGGCTAACTAAGCCCTGTCTTTCTAAAGGGTATGGGAAGAGATTGCCAAAACAACTGATGAATGAAGGGAGTTTAGCTCGGTTGTTTGATGCAGCATGATAATGTTGTGCTTCTTCCTTGACATATTTTACAAAAACTGCCAAGTCCTCAGAATGCTGCCAACACTGTTGGAGGATCACCACAGCACATAAATATCAACCTACAGTAAATGTTTTGCATTTTTCCTCTTACATGAAATTTATAAAACTAATGAGATCAAATGCATCTCTGCCAGATACTATAATGTGCACAATTCTCTTCACTGTAAGACTCTCAGGACATGGCATTCATAATCTAGGAAACCCAAAAACTTCCAACAAAGCCGGGTATTTCCAGTCCTGATATTAAACGCTGAGTTAATTTCTCCTTTTCTGCCTGTTTTCAGGGGTGTAATAAATTCTTGTGTATCCTGCTTTTACAGGATCCGGTAGATGGAAAGGTGTTTGCAAATATTTCAGAGACCTTTAGAAATACTGAGGTTCTCACCTCAGCACAGCCTGGTTCTTCCTAACCCCCTCCCTACCACCATCATATTTCTATACTACTACATTTATTTCAAATGAAGCAGCTGTGGCACTTATATGCATTCCATGTTTAAATAATGATGACTTAGATAATGAGCTGTTTGAAAAACAGCTTACCTCTATGGGAGATAAGACAGAGTATGTACGTACTGACAACATGTGCATTTGGAAGTATTGCTCTATTACGGTGATGCGAGTATTGTGCTAGCTCAGCATGTGCATCTGCCACACTGTCAGTCAGAGAAAATTAGTCGCCTCTCCCTTACATGTATTTACCCAACAGTACAGAATACTTCTTGATCAAAGACTTGTTACCACTGAAATTGGAATAATTAAAAGGCAATTTTAAATAAATAAAAATTGGAACAACAGAGTATTCACTTAGAGACAAAGAAATTGTAATGGTAGAAGAAACTTAAATTTTGGCTAGTCAGGGCTGGTATCACACCCTTCTAATCCCACCACTCCTGAGGCATAGGCAAGTGAGTCTTTGAGAGTTCAAGGTTATAGTCTTAGCTACATAGCAAGTTTCAGGCTGGCCAGGGCTACATAGTGAGACTCTATCTAAAAAAAAAAAACCAAAAGAATTATTATGGCAAATTAACAACTTAACAACTATTGTGTCATCTTGCAACATATTGAAATAGATGTGATAATATAATATTCTTTGAAGATAATAGAGCCATCCATGTCAATGTCAAGCCACTGCCCTTTGGTGTACAACGTGTAACATTTGTATAAATTTGCAGAAAAAAATCACTTATTTTATTCTCTAATGTTGTAGTGCCCTAACATTTCTAGCTGCAGAAAAATGAGTCTTTGTATAATGTTAGTGGTTTGGTAGGTGATACATAACTTTAAAACATGATTTCAAACTCATCCATCAGCATTGGTCTATTTCTTATTCAACCAATCATCGAGTCACTGTGAATTATTTTGTTTACAGTGAAAGTAATTTGCAATGATGAAGGAATCATTTTCCTGTGAATTATAAAGGGATTATCATGTCAGACTCCCCATATACTTAACTGCTCATATGATTACTATTGTGTGATAGCTGTTGTCATGAGAAACCATTTGCCTGTGTCCATCACCAGGAAGCTGTATATAGGGCAACACATTCTGTTTGTTTCATTTGTACTGGGGAATGGTTTCTCGAAAGGTCAGCGGCGACATCTGTCTGAATGTATAACTGAAGTGACAAGAAAAGAGAAATATTTCTGAGTACTAATAAAAAATTGTTATTTATCTCCTCAAATGGTCTCTAAGTTTATGAGAATTCCATCAAGCTCTGTATTTTCTCATATTAATCATATCTTCAGTTTTGACTGTATGTTCAAATAAACAACAGGATTTTAGGAAATAACAGAACGTTCACAGTGTTAGGAAAAGAAGACACACACAAAGCAGTCAAAATATAAAAATGACCACAGAGCTGAAGTATTTTGTTATAGAGAGAAATAATGGTAAATGTTAGTGACTACTTAACTACATTTTAAATTTCATGATTCTGATATTAATATAATTATTAAAGATGATGAAAACATACGTTGTGCAGCTATCCATCTTATTTAAGGAAAGAAATATCAGATTCTGTTATATACATGCTTCTTCATTGTAACAATTATCTTAACTATGTGCATTATAGAAATAAGCCTGGATTATATCAAATTGAATCGTGTATCACATATATGCAGTTACTCCTAAGTGAATCTATTACAGGGAGTGACTTTCTATAAATGCATCATTTAAGTCATAGGCCATCAAGGCAAAGGCTAGCTAGAGCAATACTTTCATTTGCATACTGTAGGAATATCAAACGAGTGATAGTAAGAATGGCCCCGGTATTACCATACAAAATGAGAGAGAGGGTTGTTCACTTGTAACCTGTAGCATAGTGCGTTCTACCATAATTTTTCTACTAAAGTAGGAAATTTTTCACATGAATGACTCAGCCTAGCCTAATGATTGATCTCTTGTAAAACAAAATCCACCTCTGAAGCTCAATGACCCTCTCACTGGTTTTGAAACTCCTTAGGGAATCATGGCTAGAAGAAGTCAACTAAAATGACAGAAAAATCAGAGGAGCATGTTTAGGGCCAGAACTGTTATGGGAAGGGACTCAGGGATTTCATTTCTTCCTTGGCCATCTAGTTCACTGTCTCGGTTTGGTATGTTTGGTACTTAAAAGTTCTGAGTGAGGGGTTTTTAATGGAAGCCAGTTTTGAACAGTGACTGGAGGATGCATCCAGTTACGCAGCTGGTTTGAAAGTGCAGCACCTGGTCTTTCTTTCCTTTTTTTTTGTTCCACTTCTGTTGTTATTAGTATGACTTTATTGCGATTGTATCTATCCATGGCTTTCTTTTCATGTAAAGCAACGCAAGATCTCAAGACCTAACGAATCACTGTGTTCCATATGCCTGACACACAGTAAACATTTATGTATGATTTATTGTTCTTTTTCTCCAGTGCAAAAATATGAACTGTCTTTTTAGTCTCAGTTTAATACCATTTTTTGAGAATTTTGTACAATGTATTTTAATCACATTACCATCTCCTCCACTCCTCCCAGATACATTCTGCATTCCTTCACCCCCAACTTGTGTTCTCTTTCTTTTTCATTATTTATTTTTAAATTTAGATTTAAATTAGAAACAAGGTTGCTTCACAAGTCAGTTCCAGGTCCCTCTCCGTTTCCCTCCCCTCCTTCCATGTCGTCCCCCCAACCCCCCATATTCCTTCATTTCCCCAGGGAATGGTGAGGCTCTCCTTGGGGGTGTCTATAGTCTGTCATTTCATCCAGGGCAGGGCCTAGACCCTCCCCCAAGAGTTCAGGGTAAGAGTGCATCTCATATTGTTGGTTGGGAGTCCAAAATCCAATTGTATACCTGGGATAAATA